TTACTCACAAACTGGATCAGTTTTGCTGAAAAATCAACTTTAACAAACATAAACTATAATAGTCTTGATCATTATTCTTGTTTTCTAACATTTCTTTATGCCTGATTATGGTAATAATAATACTAATAATAATTAAACATTATATGATTCCACTTTAAATCATTTTTTGTTTTTTTTGTTGCAGACGTGGCGCCAGCCAAATGAACACCGGACATGTTGCTTCCTGAGGGCGTCAGACGACTGTTTCGATGTGACAGTCGTCTGAAACCAGCACAGAGACGAGGTGCTGCTGGTAATAGCTGAACAGTAGACGAGTGATTGAGCTGAACCCTTCATGGTGATGAAGGTCTGTTTAGAGGCAGAGAGTTTAATATTTATTTGATGTATTGAACGGTAGGAGTTTTCCTCTACTCCCTTGACAAAGGTTGTTTCCTCACAGTGAGGCTTATATTATAAAACTGATACATGGCTGTATCTAACTAGTTTTAGACTTTATTATATTTTATTTTAATGCCAATTTTTAACTGTTGTGCATAAAAATGTAAAAAAAAAAGAGAATGTAATATAAGCTATTGACTTTCGTCAATGCACAACGTGTATATTTATCAGCATTTCTTGTTCACATTCATCACTAATCATTTGTCTCTTACAACTTGGACATATTTTTATAAATGCTGCATTTGCAGCAAAACAAATAAAAATGTTTCAATTGCTCACGTTGTGTTTGGTGTGTTTAATTGCATGTTAATAGGCAGCACTTTTAAAGGTTTTGCTGTAAACATGACCCTCCTGCGAGGTTCAGTTCTGACCAACGTGGCACAGACCTGCAGCTTCGACTGTTTCGGGGTGAAATCAGTTAAACCAGAATACAATAACAATAAAACAGCCTCAGTAACTGTTAGTGTTTCACCCATTTTCTGGCTGTTTTTGAGCAGAAAGGCCCAGACATCTCTTCCACCTCTTCAGGGAGGATCCTAAGATGTTCCCAGGCCAGCCAAGAGACTAGTCTCTCCAGCGTGTCTTGGGTCTTCCCCAGGGTCTCTTCCCCAATGGGCATGCGTTTTTTTAGTTACAAGAATTTTTCATTTGAATCCTTATTAGCCTTTAAATCATCATCTCAGTGATATTTTCAGACTTTCTGTCTTTATTTTTATTCTTATTATTATTTTATATATCCTGTCACCTACAGTTTTCACAGTATCAGGATGCTGGACTCTGATCTCTGTATTTGTAACTTATATAATTTCCACTGTTGGTTAAATAAAGAACTATATAAAACACAGTCAAGCACATGAACATGTTTATTTTCAGAGCAAAGGCCATCAGAGTTTAAAGATGAAACGACTGACAGTAACTCAGTAATTCAAGTTATGTTGACATCAAGACGTTACAGAGTCCAAATCGGAGATTGATTAGTAAATAAAATGAATTCCCAGCTTAATCATTAAACAAGTGTTCAACTGAATTAAATAAACGCACAAAACAAACACACAAATTACATTATTGTCTGTAAAACAACCTCATACCCACAAAACTGCAAACATGAAACATTTCCCTCTTGCATATCAAATGAGCGTTGATCCATTGCTTTTTAAGAGCTTCAAGTGTTAAGAAAAATTATTTCTGATTTTAAGGACTTAGAGTTTCCATTTCAGATATTTTTGCTACAATTGTTGCTTAATTCTGCACCATTTATATGTCCAGTATTCCAAATGTATCCAAATGGTGATTCTTTATATCAGAACACCCACAAAGCATGATTTGATGGCTACACATAAAAATAAAAAACATGTTGTTGTGACTGTTTGTTGTTCTTCCTGCAAAGCTGGACATATAAACTAATTAAGACTTCTGTGGTGCAACAATAATGCAGTTTAAGGCCTCTCGGTGCGGTTTTCAATTCATGCATAGATTGAGAAAGACTGAGCACGGATGCTAACACTACACATGTAAGTGTTGCACTGCAAATTTTAAAACTCCAGACATAAACAAGCAGCAGGTAAAGATGTTGCAGTGAACTACACAAACAGGACGATGCGTGAGTTTTGTCGCTAGTGGTCGCCTCAGTAACCCACCCACCACAGCGACATCCTGAATGTCAGCGTGGTGTTTCACAGGGAGCGGTGCGTTCAGGTTCACTTCAGGAGACTCTGCAGCATGGCGGTGGCGTACGTCGGGCGGGCCTGCTTGTTCTCTATGGCTTTCTTCAGATACTGGATCCCGTCGCAGCGCTCCCAGATTTCCTCGAACTGCCTGGGCAGGATCTCCGCCCCCCTCTTCCTGGTCAGGCCCGTCTCCTCCAGACTCAGCTCGCACATTTCCATGTCGTCTTTGCCTGAGAGAAGGCGACAGAGCAAAGACACAAACAAAATGTTTACTCCCTGGGGCGGGGATTGATGAGGAAAACAAAGGCCTAGCGTCAGGTGCGAGATTAAAATTGCTAAAAAAAAATTCATATTTGTTATGATCGAAAAATCCCATTTGAATATAATTGTCACATCATCATGTCTTTGTTGTAACAAGACAAAGGAAAAGCTGATGATTCACCTGCGACCAAAACAATGGGCTGTTTGTCCGGATGAAGCTCCATCTGTCTGGCTATCCACGGCCCGTCGAAGTGGGCGTACCACCAACCCTTCTTTTTATTCTGGGGGTCCTTGTACTGGTCTGCGGGCCGGATGAAAGGAATGCGAAAGTAGCGCTGCTGGCGGTTCATTGCCACTTCGTGATGTTGGGCTGTCGTTGGCGGCGCTGGGTTCTGCTCGGCTGCGACGTGACCGTTAGAAAAACAGATTCGTGATCAAAGTGAAGCAGGAGTGTGTCGGGCGGACGAGTTTCAGCAGTTTTAGTTTTTCTAAGAACATAAAACGCTGTTCATACTAATCACAGCAAACAGTTTTAAAAAAAGAAAGCGATGTGCTGGGAGACAGCTGAAGTGTGTTCTGTTTAAATGTATGGTGATTATTTTTCTATTTCTGTTGGTGTGCTGTAACTTTGAGCACATTTAGAACGACAGTGTGGAATAACGTCCTTTACTGACCATAGTCAGTGATGGATTTCGGAGCTCTCTGGTAAATCCCATCATCGTCCCGTTTCTTGTTCTTGGACTTCCACGCGTGATAAACCTTCAGACGACGGTGGAACTCCTCTCTGCAGGCTGCCAGCAGATCGATGTCTGCGAATTAGAAAAACTAATTTTATTTCACCTTAACGTAAAGAGGATTTCTGATCTACAGTAGTCCCTCGCTACTTGGCGGTTCGACTTTTGCGGACTCGCTCTTTCACGGTTTTTCAAAGTAAGATTGTACACGAGAAGAAAAACATTGTACACAACATGATTGTCAACTTTAATATTACTCATATGATTGGCCCAGTACTGGATACTGTACAGTAAAAAGTTAACCAAAAACAAAAACTTCCGACAGGCGCTGCCATTTTGTAGCTTTCTCTCAATAAGCCTACACTATCGCCACCCAAAAGGACTACATTTCCCAGAAGCAAACAGTGCTTCCGGCCATTGCTTCTGCTGAAATGGAGGGAAAGATTTGATCAGATATGAAAAAGTTTGATCCTTATTCATAGTGACTTTGGCGCCTAAAAGATGCAGAAAGCTGCATGGAACTGACCGGGAACCAGACCAGAACCAGACCTCCAGACTCATCTGTGAATCTGAGTGCCACCCGCTGGCCCACGAGGCCTTCCGAGCGAGGAGATGCTGCCCGGAGGTCCGATGTTCTCTCTGGTGCCCACCTCCATCCAGATTTGGATTTGATCGGGACCACACCCTGCTGGCCATCTGAAGTTACGGCTCCCTCCAAAAGCATTTTGGTAATCAAGGGCTGCAGAGAGCCGACCAGAACTGACAGGGTAAGTCTGGCAGGGTAGGTCTGCCGAACCGAGCTGCTGTGTTCTGCAGAGCTGGTGAGTAAAATTTGGAAGTAATGCACAGTACATATACGTATGTTGTTAAAATTACGTAGGTGTAAGAGTGTAGAACATTGCAAGAGTGTGGGAAGGGTTTATAAAGCCTTAAAATATAGAAATACTAAAATAAATAACGCCCCTACTTCACAGATTTTCACTTATTGTGGTCCGGAACATAACCCCTGCGATAAAGGAAGGACTACTGCACATCGCTTTCCCAATTTGCACAGAACTTTAATGGAATGCATCTTTTTACACCGCCAGTGCTGAAACATCCAGGAGGACAGCCGCACAAAGCCTCCAGCATTTGAGGAGAAGGGACCATTGTGGTTTCGTGCTGAGCGTTACATTAGACGTTCACAGATACTCTCACATCCTCCCATTCAGTATCAAGCTGGCTTTTCTGCTGCTTGTCTCGCAGCTACAAGATCCATTAACCCTTACACAAATAGGTGCACACAGAAGTCCTGGTTTAATGTTTTTGCTGACGTTATCATGCTGTTTACGAGCCAAAAGGGGAGTTTTACAGTTCTACTATCGCTGTTGGGGTGACCTCAACAGACATACTAATAATAGTTGCAAACTATATATAGAAACTTGGACTTGGCCTCAAAAATGTCCTAAATGAGGACGGATGAATCAATCATGTTGCAAGCGATTCAGCTGAAATGCTGTAAAAGCTTACGGAATACCACATATTTGTAGAAATGCAAAACAAAATACACAGAAAATACTCCTGCACCATCAAAGCTAATGGTTTCCACAAATGATCCAGATGTCCTTGGACATGTCTCAGAGTGCAGTGTACAGCAACGACGTGAAAAGAGGCTTGAAAACGGGAGCCAACTGAGAGTTTCAGCCTTTCATGCTGACTGAGAAGAAGCAAATGTTAGCCATCTTTCATGACGGGAATAATTTCCTCTCTCCACCACTTAGACACAAGTGGAAACATCCTCATGTTGTGCCTTTGATAAAAAATTTTTTTTTTGGAGCGAGTCATGTTCACACTCTGGACAGCTGAAGCCTTTCAACAGCAACTCAAAGAACTGACGTCCCGATGAAAGGCTTGCTCGTGACGCCACATGAGTTTGGGTTAGAAGTGCCAAAACACGAGTTTGGTGCTGAATTGTTTAACGTTTGGTTTGAACACAAATAAATTTGGGCAGAAGGAGTAACTAACAACTCTGTGTCAGACTGAAACTGGATTCGGGACTTTCTCACCACAGGAAGTGTTGATGACATCTCGCAGCTCGGCGTACTTCCACTTGCTCAGATCATACTTTTTCACACCGGCAGCAGCTTTGGTCGCCTGCACCTGAGGACCCCTGGAGTTAGAAACAGACGAGTGCGGGTGAGAAAAGAAACAACCTGTGCATTTGAGAACATCCAAGATAAACTCATCAAGGATTTGTAATTTTCACACTGAATCTGATTCGAGTTGCACATTTCAGGGGAGTGTTAATTTTCACAAGTAAATAATAAATTCTGATTAGTTCACTTCTAGTCTGAGATGAAAAGCCCATACATGATACAGCAAATAAAGCAGACTTTGATGCCAGAATTTGCTGCATTAACTTGATCATTTTAAGCCTACAATGAGATGTTTTTCTTTATTATTATTGGGATTACTTTTTAAAGTGTGAAGACCACTGAAAAAACTAATTAGCAATGCTTTTCTATAAAAACCCAATTAATCAGATTGTTGCTGAGCTCTTATCTGATGTTTTCAGCTTCCCTGCTGAGCTGAAGCCATAACAGGAGCAAGGATTTGCCTTCTCTAATTACAGTCAGTCTCTGGATTAAGGACTGCTGATCTATGAATCATTACATTATTATTTAGACGTCTGACTGACTGGAAGGATCAGACTCATTCAGGATCAGTGCAACATGTGAGTTAATGGCTGCTCTTTGCTTCTGGCAGCTGGGGAAAGGGAAAAGGTTGGCTGGAGAAAAGGAAGCATGGAACTTTTTGGATGTCTTTTAGCCACAATGCTAGTGAGGTTGGCCAGTGTGTGACTGGAGCTGAGCACAGTGTTGTTTAGTTAGAAAACAGAGGCATGTAGAAATATTCTATCAGTTTGTACAAGTTCACAACTGATGCCAATGAAATGTATTCAAGTGGATTTTGTTAGTCTGATTAGCTAACTGTGCATGCAAGTCATTTTTTTCAGTAATTTTTTTAAAGATGACCTAAAAAAACCAACTATTTTTTCTTATGAAAGGTTAAATAAACCAAAATATTGCTGTTAATTTTTGACTGTGTAACTTTACAAACGGCACCTCATACATTATGTATATGGTGAGACAACAACATAGAAATTGTACCATTTCAGGTAGATTTTCTATTTTCACAACCATAATAAGACCTGTGATGAGATTATTACACACAGATCTTGATCTAAAGTGAGTGTTGATATTTACATATGAAACTCAAACCCTTAACCTCCACTTTCATAAGAGAAAAAAAAAACATTTTTGTCAACGTGTTATATCCTGAAAAACATCCAAACAAAAAGTTAGTGATTAAAAGCCTTCATACACGATTTAGGTAGAGGATTAGTTCAGAAAATATTCTTGCTGTTGTAAAATTAACCAATCAGATGAACACAGATTAATGAATAAAGACGGAGATTAACATAGCATAATTATAATTTCTATAGTAGGTAGGGAAAACACAACAAATGTTACAGGAACACTTTCCTCACTGGAATCATGCAGAGCCAGTTCAGATGAGTGATTTTCATCCAGCTCTAATTTATGTCTTGTTGTAACATCTTTATCTTAAGGTGACAGATAATATGTTTGAAATGATGGTGGAGCAGATGCTCCATCGTTTTCCAAAGCACGGGTGTAAGTTTATGTTTTGGCTCCTCTTTTATTGAACTAATATGTTATTACTCATAGCAATAAGACGGAGAATAATTTGAGTGATATTGTATTAATTAACAGAGCAACATATCTATAAATTTAACAGTGTGGAAACAAAAGGCAGGTTTTTATTGATTCTAATTTCACCTTACATACTGGTATAAACTAAAAAATATGATAAATAAGGGATACACTCTACACCCTGTCCTGTCCCTGAGCTTTGAGTAGGTTCAATTCAAATCAGCAGAACAACAAGCTGCTAGCTTGCTAGTCAGTCAGCAATTGACATGACGCTACCTGTCAATCAATTCCGTAGGCTCATCAGCAACTGGCCAATCAGCGATGGCAACGCCCCTTACCTGCAGGATCTGCACCTCCTTTTCCTCCGACAACATTGTTGGATTTTTGCATTGCGAATGCTTTGCAGGCAGAGGGATTTTATGAGAAATCATCAGAGAAAATAGTTAAATGTTGTCAGTGGGGAACATGCAATTCAGACAGCGTTACCCTGAGAATTTAGAGGATGCAATACAGTTTATTCCATTTACAAAACCTAAACTGAGTGGGAAAATGTTAAAGATGGATAAAGGCTGGAGGCCGATCCAATGATCAGCTGAATACAACAGTGATAAACAGGAAGTACCACATGTTCATCTGCACAAAGGTAACTGCAGGTTAAATCCTTCATTTTCTGTCATAATTACATGATTAATAGTTAAATTAAAGGTTAATGCTTAAAGCTAGTCGTGCTTTGTTTTGTGTGTTTTGTATGAAGATATGTGTTGCAACTTTAGGTCAGAGCTAAATATTTAGTTAGCAAATTAAATATTTAGTTTGGTTGTATAAGTTTAGCCTTTTGTTTACTCTGATCAGTTAAAGCTAAACTGATTTTGCACAAAGAGTTTATTAGGTTGTGCAATGTCAAACCTGCACTCAGTATATACTGCATTTTACTGAATTGTTGCCATGTGTCGCTCTGTGGCATGAAAACATCTAATGCAGTAACTATTTGATGTTATTAGTAGCTTTGAAAATACAGTGTTGCCTTAATGTTGGCTGATAAAGCAGAAATGCCTCAGGTAATGCCGTGAGCTTCACTACCTCCACCACAACTATCTTGTTTGTGTGTTTGACGGAGGTTGGCTCACCTTGGGTTACTTTTGCGTGGGTGGAGCGATCTTACCGTTCGCGTCATGTCAACTAACCGCAGAGATGTTAAAAAGAGAACTAAAGTTGGGCTTTAGCAGTCAAACACGCACAGCATCTTTTTTTTACTACAAATCAAACAGAATAGAGTAAATAATTTGATTGATATTGCGCTAACAGTGCTATCATTAACTATCCGTATTATTATTATTAACAGTAATATCCATAAATTAAAAAAAGCGTGGAAACAAAAAGCAAACTCTTTTTTGGGGCTTCAAACTCAAGTTACACCGACCTGCCAACCAGTGTCTTTTCTCCCTCATATTTTAACATAATCAAGGCGCTCAGGGGTGCTAGATATTTTGTGAGGAATGATGGAATTGCATTAACAATATAATCCTGTATCTACTTCAAGCAGCTGGAGGTTTTGGAAGTACAACAGGGATTACAACCCCGTCCACACAAGAATATGATCTTTTTCAAAACAACAGTTCTCCTCTTAAACATGGCAAAACTAGAAAGCTTCATCCGACTGTTGAGCTGTCCATGCTAGGTCTGTATGTGGCTGTGATGCAGCCACTAAAGGACACCAAGTAGAGTAAAGATGACGTGGAGCATGCGTATGGTGAAGAACAGAGCAGAAGCCAAAACCATTTTGTGGACTGACAACTAAAAGGAATTTCTAATTTGTGTTTAGCTGAACTATGAGACCTGAAAAGTGCAGAACAGTGTTGACTGGGAGTCGTGTCAGTCCAAGTACGAGGACATAATGAACGATTTTTATGTAGAGTATTCACAGGGATGGCTGGGTAAATTATTTATACACAAGCGTCACCTTTAAAACTACTGTGTTCCAATTTTCAATGTTTTTGTAAACATAAATTTGATGTACATTGTAGTTTTTTTTCCTGCAGCATTTGTTTATTTTTGTATTTTGGACAGTTCAACATAGTGATAACAATTTTTGGTCTTAAATTAGTGTAATAATATGAAGTTTTTGCTTTACTATATTTAAGGTAATGTTCATCAGCCTTGTCTGGTTATTTAAAAAATACTGTACATTAATCCCTCGTTTATTGCGGGGGATCTGTACGCTGAAGTCCAGCGATAAGTGAAAAAACACAAAATAGTAGTACAAGTAGTAAGCAGAAGTTTATTTTAGTATATATATACTGTATAAAGACGTTTTTAACCCTTCCCACAAATTTGCAATATTCTAAACAATGTTTCTACTTTGTATATCAAATGCTCTAAAAAAGCACTGAATGTCATGATCTCAGCTCTCTGCCTCCACTGCACTCTGCCATCTGCAAGCGCTCTTGGCCACGCCCACTTCTCCGCTGTAAAGTGGAGATATGACACGCTGCAGGAGGAAGCTTTTCCTGCAGTGTGGGCTGCACACACGCACAGCAGGTGCTAAATAATTTAAAATAATTTATTTTAAATAACATTTCCATGCCGATCATGCTGCTCATCCATCAATCAGCCAATTGTGTGTCATGTCCAATCTCATTCTGAAAAAACGTAATAGGGCGAATCCACAAAAAACGAACCGCGAAGTAGTGAGGGACTACTGTATACAGATGTTTACTACAACATAAATGCAATCTGTCATTATTGTTAAGTCAGTCATGCTTAGGGTTGGAGGTTAGTTACTATGTGAACTTAGGACATTGTTTTCAAAATGTTGCATCTAGGCTGCCCCCTCAAGAATGCAATGTGGTGGCATTTAAATTTTTTTTTCCACTCTGAAACCCAGTTTAAAAAACAAAAGAAAACAATTAGGATCTCCTAAAAAGTGGTTTCTGTGTGGACACCTCACAGCTGAAATGAAATAAAAAAAAAAAGTTGGATAGTCACAAAACTCTGTTCTCGTGTGGACGGGGCTTAAGAGTGTGAGGAACTAAACAAATGTCTACAGATGGTGTTAGTTACACTCAGTTCTGATTTCTTACATGGCTCTGGCTGAGAAGAAAGAGATAGGAAGATCTGAAAAAAAGTCATCACTGTAGAAAACAGTGCAACAAGAGAAAGTCGGTTACATTTGCATGCTGAGGTCAGGCTGGGTCGCATTACTAATTCAAAGCGCACAACACTCTCGTATTGAGGATTATCCTGCAGAGACGGTACCTGCGCAGAGCTGCATCCCCCTGACCTTCGTCACTGATGAGCTCTGCCTCGCTCTGAGCGATCCTCATGGCGAGCTCCTGGTCCCTTCTCTCCTGTTCCAATACTGCAGCATGCTGGGCCTGCTCCTCACGCTCCAGAGCCATCTGTTTCTCCAGCTCAGCCTGTGAACACAAACCACAATCCACATTTGATACGATTGTATATGATCTACATAAAATATGTTCATGGCACAGTGGTAATACTAACCAGTGAGCCAGATGTTTCTTATCGATGAGAGCTCAGCAAAGTCTAATAAGACTAAAATATACAAGTATTTTGGGCAGCTAATAAAGCTTTTGTGATTGTCTGAACATGGGCAAAGAACAAACATTTAATATTATTCAGATGGAAGGTTGTTTTTATAAAAAGACCTTATAAAAATGGTTCAAGACAAAAAAAAGTACTCAAAATGACTGACTGTTCACTATCAAACTATCATTAATGCTAAGTTTTTTAATTTATTAACACCCACCATTATTTCATATTACAAAACCAGCAAAATATGACACAGACATAAATAAATACATATGTTCTGTGGGAAATGTTGACAAGTAATGCAAATCATAAAAAAAAAAAAAAAAAAAAAAGAAGTTGTTTTTGTGGGATTTCAAGCTGTTTGAGTTGCGGCTTTTGAAACAGGTCCTTCACTTCCATATATGGGGTGTGATGTCACAGCAGAGATCCGATCATGCAAAACGGACAGATTTCTATTGCACAAAGCTGGAGGCAGTTGCAAAGATGGAGAAAACACCCCCATCCGTTTTGATAAACAAACAACAGGAAAAAGAATAAAAACATGCAGAAGACGAAGGAAGTTCGACAGCGTTAAGAGACACAGTGGAAGTGAGTAAAGAGATTTGTGATATTTAGTATGTTTGTATTTTATTGTCAGTGTATAGTTTTATGTGTTTAGTCAGTTGTAGTGTGTTTGAGTAAAAACAGTGACACATTTTTTTTAAAGTGAAGCTGCAGCTTCCATTTAATGTAGGGGTATGGAGCTAGGCCGGTCGCGATAAACAATAAATCAGTTAATCACATGATAAATGAAAATTATCGACCTCGTTTTCATTTATCGGCTTTATTGTTTCTTCGTCTCTCTTTCTACCGAAGACACTGGATGACAAAAGGCTCAACTCCGGTGCTCTTCACTGACCCCTCCCGTTCGCTTTAAAATCTGTTTTAACCGTACAAAAACGCGTTTTTGGATCGTTAAAAGCAGCTAAGCTGAGAAGCTCAGCTAACAGGCCGACCTTGGGGAAAAAACAGTCTTGTCGAAGTTCCAAAATTCACGGCTGAAACCTGTGCCTTCGTGTAAAAAGTTGTTTTTCTCTGCAAAAAGAAGCTGAGAACTTGTTCACTGATTTTTTTAATTAAAAGCTTTGTGTGACAAATGCTATGCTAAAGAGCTCAAAGCACACCTAGCGTCCACCGTTTTCATAAACGAATAAGGAAGGAGAGACAGCCCATGTCACGTCAAGGAGCCTCCCTCCCATTTTTCTTAAAGAGACTCACTGCTCGCTCCCTCACTATCCATCATTCAGTTCAAACAGTCTTATACTGCCATGCGGTGGTCGAAAAGAGGTACTACATGCAAAACAAATTAACTAACATTTCTTCTTAAATTTGACAATAATTACTAATTATTGTCAAATTTCAAACAATATTATCGTTTATCGCAATAATTTTTGAGACAATTAATCGCCCAGCAAAATTGTTATGGTGACTGGCCTATATGGAGCTGCAGATCCAGAAATGGACTGAGTGTCAAAACCTTCTCAGAAAGGCAGAAGGAAAAATCAAAACATAGTCTGAGACAGAGTGAATACTTTGACGAGGAAGTGGGAGATCCATTATTTGTTGTAGAAGCGGAAACAGAGGAAGAGTGCACCAAGCACACACTCCTGCCTGTGCACAATCGCTGGTATGACATCATCAGCTGACCAATTTATTTGTTTAAGATTTTTTTAAAACATTTGCATGGCCCGAGTACCAAAAAAAAAAAAAATCAATGGTTGTAATAAATAAAATAGACCTATTTGTTGTGTATCATAAGCTAGAAGTACATAAAACAAATTATTCGGTTATTGGTTAATGTCTAAATTTACAGATTATTGATACGTAATGTTAAATTAAAAAATAAAATCATGTCTCATGTCTATCACATTTGTCTACAGAAACACATAAATCACATACACACAGAACATCTGTGTTGGAAGTAGGAAGTTCACACCTGAATAACTTTCTCTTCCTCCTTTCTTTTTTTCCTCTCCTCTTCTTCCTGCTTCCTTTTAAGTTCCATCTCTGCTTTGCTAAAATTAGAAAACAGAAAAGGATTTGTATTTTTGTGGAGAAACTTTATGGACTCAACACGTGTCACTGTTGCACATTTACAACTTATCTGCTTCTATCATTGTTAACTTACAGCTTTCTGTCGTCTTCCTCCTGTTTGCGGCGTTGATCTTCCTGCTCCCTCCTCTGACGCTCTTTCTCCATCTCGTCCTCGATGCGTTTCAGTCTCTCAGTCTCTTCTTCCTCTTGCTTCTTCTTTTTTATGGAGGAGAGCAGCTGCTCAGAGCGCTTCACAAGCCCCTGGTACTCTGTGTCAATCTCCTTCCAGGTCATCACCGTGGCCTGGTGGCAATGAAACACACAAACATGATCAAGATTGTAAAGGAGGAAATACATATCTTTTATTAAACTAACATATGTTGCCCTTCACAACAAACTGAGGATTAAGGTGCAAACTGGTATGTTTGCATTGTGCACTACAGTAATTAAAAATTTTGCAAAGATTTATTTAGTCAAAAAATGATGAATAAATACCTCATCTGTGGCTCTCTTGAATAAAATGTCTGAAATATGATTCTATAGAGGCAGTTTTCTGAGTAGTGCCAACAAATAAAGTGATTTTGAGCAGAAAACCTTAAATTGTCACTACTCTCCCTGCGTGGTAGCAGAGCTTTTTAAAAAAAATTTGCAATGGGGAAATCCCAAAATCCAAATATAGTTGAAGCTTTCCTTTTTCAACTGGTGTTAATTAATCCTCATTAGAATGCCCTAAAGATAGGATTCATGATTTTTTCAGGGGTTATCCCAATTAGCAAGACAAATCAAATCATATCTCTGGAACTGCTCATATCAGATGATCTTTGTATCAAAATGTAGCTTAGATCTGAAAATGTACTTTGTTAGATTTTTATTAAATTAAACTTAATCGTTGGCTTGCTGTGATGGGTCACATATTTAAATTCAGGTCTCTGGGGTGTCCAAAGGTACAGGTTGGTGTTTATCTACACTAAACTGGTCAAAGGATTCTACCATATGGCAGAAGAAAATGTAGGAAAGTGAAAACGATGAGAAAAGGCTGAAAACTGAATTCACACATTTTTCCCACAACCTTGTGACAACGATGACTGACTGTGTCTGTCACTTGCATCTGCAGCCAGAAGGGTGAATTCTACCGTTGTCAGACACAAGCAAGGGGAGAAAAGGTCATAATATTGTGAGGGTTTATTAGGGTGAGCCTCAGTGACACAGGGAGGTCTTGTCCCTCGACGTATAGAGGTCTGAATGACATCTCATGCATTATTTACACCGTGCCAGGAGCATTTCTGAACATTCAGAATGTCATACGTGTGGACAGCAGGGATGCTAACGGGCTAACAGTCCAACACTGGAAATGTACGCTGGCTGTATGGGATGGTGGAAACAAAAAGGAGCCAGGAGTCACTGGTTCCTCAGTGTCAATCAGAATACAGATGAAGTCTCAAATTAAATTTGTAGATTGCATGAAGAAAACAGCAGAGTACAAAAACAGCATCAATCCAACCGGGGAATCCGGCGCACCAAAGCTGGATGGCGAGTAATGACGAGCTGCTGAACCTAGCGGGTCCAATAAGACGGATGTATATTGCACTGGGAGAACTGGGATTTCCCTAACCGTGTTCGACTAATAATTTAGCAAAACGGCTACAGTAAATTAAATTATTGGCGTGGAGAGGAGTCGTCTTCATCGAGCTCTTGTCTTACGGTCACTGAAAATATTGATTCTGTAATAGAGAAAATAAGAAGGACAGAACACTGTGAAGTGTTTTGTTCTTGTGTTATTAAGGATTGTGTAACACAAGGAGCACATAGTGAGAAGACTGGTTGTTCAGAGCGAGCGCACTGGTAAAATAAATATGGAGCGAAGAAGCTTTGAATGAAAAACTTCACTGAACAAATCCACATGAAACACAAAATGTTCAACAAACACGCCGATGCTTAGTTTTATTTGTTTGAAAACAAAAAAAAACTAACACGGAAATCAACAGAATTTAAAAGCCCATATCTGTTGTTTTTCTTCCAGTTGCTCCCTTCGTCAGGGTCTCCACAGCAAGCGAGCCATTATCTTACATCAGATGTCTTTTCCGACTCAACCCAGGCTCAAACCTGCAGCCTCGGGATTACAGGACCCACTGACCACTGAGCTACTGCAGCCCCAAAAGATCATTAAAAATATAAAAACCTGCGCCTCACCCTTATTTTTGCTAACAGGGCATCTATGGCGGTGGCCAGTTCCTGGACTTGTTTGACCATTTCCTGTTTCCCTTCCTTCAGCACGTTCACCACCTCGTTGAAACGCTCCATGTGCTTCTTCAGTTTCTGAACTTTCACCATCCCATCAATTCTGTCGGAGCAGAGAAACGCTGAGTTACAATGTCAAATAATAGATTAAACTTTTTTTTAATATCATTTAGTGAAATCATAGTAAATTAAAAAGTCTTAAAATGTTTAGGAATATTCCAGTTTACAGAAACTACATTTAATAAGAATAACACTTAATAGACAAGCAGAAGACAAAAGTGAAAGATTAATTATTTTAGTTAGGTGACTGTGTTTTTAGTGTAAAAAACACGACTACATAATATTGATCAAAATCTATAAATGGATACAAAGTACAATTTACAAACTGTAATATTTTTGCATAAAGTGGAGTGAAATAGAGAAAACTATGAAGTTAATTTACTGATACATCTCTGTATGTTAGTTAGGTGTTTAAGCACCAGGACAGCTACATTAAAATGGACCAAAATTTTAAAATAAAATAAATAAATACAAATGTCAAATGGATTTTAGATTATTTAATAAATCTTTGAATTCATCTACACTTGTTTCATGTGAAATATTGAATTAGCTGATGTGTACTTTGTGCAAAACGGCACAACAAAATAACATTTTTCTTTTTTTATTTGTATTTTACATTATAATTTATATACAATATATTATTTTACTTGATCATAATCTGTAGTATTGATTGGATCCCTGGAGGTAAAAATCTATTTTTGCCTTTCCAAGTGAATATGATTGTTTTATTCATAATATATATGTATATTTTTCACCTCCTCCTACTTTTAATAAGGATTTAAAGTTAGTTTATATATTTTCACAGTTTTCATCTATCAACATAAATTGTCAGTTTGAAGTAAGATTCTCTAACCAGGTTTGAAACAGCCCTGTTGTAAACGGCATTTACAATTTAAAACTCAGCTTTTTAAATTCTTTACAAGAACTTTGTTTTAATACTTTGCCAAAGAATTATATATTTAGTATCTTATGATCCACAAATGAATTTATAATTGAACCTGAACTTATAATTTGAATTGAACTTGAAAACAACTACAGTAGTCCCTCATTTATCGCTGGGGATCCGTAACCTGAAGCTCAGCGATAAGTGAAAAACTGCAAAGTAGGAAGAGTGGTACAAGTAGTAGTTTATTTATATATATATATATATATGTGTGTGTGTATATAAAGGTGTTTTAAACCCTTCTCACACTCTTGTAATATTCTAAACAATGTTTCTAAACTCTAAATGCTCTAAAAGAGCACAGAATGTCATGATTTAGGCTCTCTGCCTCCTGCCAGCGCTCTCGGCCACGCCCACTTCTCTGCTGCAGAGAGAAGATCATGACAAGCTGCATGAAGAAGCTTCTCCTGCAGCTTGGACTCCACACAGGTGCTAAATAATTTTAAACAATTTATTTTAAATAAAAAATCCATGCCGGTCGTGTGGCTCATCCATCAATCGGCCAATTGTGTGTCATGTCCAATCTTATTTTGAAAAACCGCGATAGAGCGAAAAACAAACCGCGAAGCAGCGAGGGACTACTTTATTTGTGATTTCATTTGAACAAAAAGCAGCGAGAATATAATAAAATAACATAAACAGAAACTCACCGTGGCTTATGCTTCTTCTTACACAGCCACATGCGGACAGTCTTTTGAATCTTAATGCAGGCCACAGCTCTGTAACTCATTTTATTCCTGACTGGAAAAAAAAAAAACGGCAAACAAAAATACTTATTGAGAATTGCTATGGAATTTATTTTCATTATACGAAGAATATAAATTCTGCTCTCTGAGGTATTTCATGGACATGGTTTCATTTTAAGATTGAAAGTGAACACAGCATTCCCTCACTCACACAAATGGAGCAGTCCTAATAAGGTGGAGTGTTGAAATAATAGGACAGAAAGAATAAATGACCAGCACCAGAGGCAGTGCTCAGTTACAGCTGAAATGTAATTTCATTCCATGCCTATATACAAATATACCACAGCTCGCCTGCACTTTGTGAATTGGCAGAAATTGATAACTTGGCACTGAGTGCAACAAGGATGTGCTTCTGGAGAGCTATTCCTTACAGCCAGAGGCTGCTTCTTTCAATAATCGAAAGGAAATGAAAAGTAGTAAAAGTGTCAGGGTGAAAAAAACTGCCCCAGGCCGGGTGGCAAGCTGTGGAACAATAACAGACGGGAAATGCTATAACATAAAAAGGAAGTTTAACTTGGGCTCTATTTCCAGAAAGCCAATTTTTACAAAGCCCATATAAAGTGGGAAATTCTTTCAAGTAAACGAGCACTAAATAGTTCTGGTGCACCAAAGCTATCCTTAAGGCTGCTTCAGCTACGTTCTGCACGTTGTTGCACGGCGCTGGATTTCACCTACGTTTAATGACCGACAGGCAACACCACTGGACCTTCTTCCAGCAGCTGCACAGCAACCACTTGTTGACCTTCTTCAGCAACTCTGCCAGGTGCTCCGGGTCCGACTTCATGATCTGGTCAAACTCAGCAAACTGATGCACGCAGACACAAACCAGTTCAGTTAGGGGAGATTTGTTGATGCGTAATGACAGACAACACTAATATCTTACCTTCCCTGGGCGGAAGAACACTCTAGTCAATCCAAACTTAAAATCATTATCATTTAAGCCCAGTGCTTTGAATAAAGCCTGTGGAGGGAAGGAAAGCACAGAACTGTTGTGTAACTGGTAAGAATTTAAGCCATTTAAATATGTTAATTTAGCAAAAATTAGCCAACTAATTAGATTTTATATAAGCAGATTTATTATTATTAAAATCCTGTAGCACACAGGATCTCTCCAGTGAAGGAGAAAAGTCGTCGGCTTATGGAAGCTCACCTTGCAGAAGAGCCGAGGGTTCAGTCGGGTAAGCTTGTCAGGCATGTACGCTTTATACATGTTGTAGAGCTCATGGAAGGGAGCCCTGGAGGGGAACCCCCCCTGCATCAGGTCCAACACAGACACCATTCCTAAACAAGACAAACAAGGAAACAATCCTGATTACTGCTGTCCTGTGCAGGGGTCTGCAACCTGCGGCTCTGGAGCCACGTTCCTGGTCCCTCTGCAGCGGCTCTTTCAAACTTTGACCAAAACTAACAGAAAACTGAATTTTATAGGCTGTTGCACCCACAACAAAAAATTACTAGTTTTAGCAGTTTTCCTGTCATTTCCTTTGCAAATATGTGGATACTAGTAATAATACACAGAGTAAATTAAACTCACTTTAACTTTATGTTTATTTCTTCAAAGTAGGACACTTAATTTCTCCACGATTAAAAAAAACAAACACATAAGCCTGCACAGTTCATTGTTTTTTTAAATTGGTACAATAATATCTTTATTTTTCTTTACAATAATCCAGTCTTCTGTGATAGACTTGCGACCTGGATATGGACCCCCTGCAACCCGAAAAGGAAAAAGCGAGAAAAGATAACGGATGAATGGAATCCAGTCTTTTCTTTTGTCGTAAAATGTAAAAATGTCAATAAATGTTAATCATTAGTTGTTTTTAGTTTTATAATTTCATACCTACAGGACAGAAAAGCCCCCTCTAACAAACTTAAAGTGGCCCATGGGCCACCAGTTGATAATGACAGTTGTAGCAGGTTTTGCGGCTCTGGACACATTTCATTTAGTGAACGAAGGAGCAGAAATGGCTCTTTTGATCCTAAAGGTTGCAGACCCTGGTTTGGCAGATATCCCAAATATTTATCCAAAAATAATTCACTTCATAAAAATGTTTCCACTGAGTGTTGTTTATGTTTTGCTCGTACCTGAGCACTGCAGCTGTGAGAGAATCAGAGCTCCTTCAAACTGGTGGCTCACCATCTTTAGATTGGGTTTTACACAGCGGATGAAACTCGAGCCCTGCACTCACAAACATCAGTCAGGAAACAAAAACAAGATCTGATTCATTATGCTGCATTATGTTGTCAGCACAAACCATCCATTTGGCTTTAATTCAAAAACATGTATGTGGTGTAATAATGTCAGAGCGTGTTTTATACTGCTGGGAAAACTGGTTTGTATTTAAGGACAGCTTTACTCACGGTGCTGCGAAGTTTCTCAAGCAGCAGGATCAGCTGGGTCTGATGAAATAAACAAACAGTTTTAATTATTTGTTTGGAAAGAGGCAGACAAGTTCAGCAAATTCAAATGTGCTACAGACCCAGGTCAGCAGAGGAGGTCAAAGAGCAAACATAGTTAAATACTCACAAACTATGAACAACTAATAACTTGGGCGTTTTTCCTGAACTTCACTGAAACTCTGTGAAAAGCCCGTTTTGGTTCCCTTAGGATTTTCCTCCAGCTATGAAACTTTCTGTTTTAACACCTCAAGCAGACTTTATCCAGATTTATCCACCAAGGAAGAATTTCTCAGAGGAAAGAGGTGAGAGACCAGAGGAAGTCTTAGAGAGGAGCGCAGAATAAGGAGGGACACTGGAAAATGGGAACGAGTGAAGTTACACGTCAGATTTAAAGGTTAGCTCACTTTTCTCCAGACTGAAAAGAAGCTTAAACAGATTGAAACGAGCAAATTAAAATAAACGGGCAAAGATTCCGAACAAAGATTATAATTCACGCATTATTTTATTTTTAATTTACACCAAAAACTTTGACAATAGCCATACGTTCTGCTTAATATTTCTCAAAATTCAAAAAACAAAATCCAAAGTGACACAAATTACTGTGACACCGAAGATTATAGCAGGGGTGGGTGAGATATTTAAAGCATTTGAAGGGCTGCACAGAGAATTAGAAAATCAATATTCTTCAAAACAAAAATATGTCTCCCCGAATACTCTTCAGGGATATAAAACATACTCCCAGTAACATGACTCTCGTGCCATTATATTTGTTAGCTTAAATGTGAAAATAAAAAATAAAAACACGTTTACTTTTCAAACTTCAAGTTTCTTTATTGTCATTCGCATCACATGTGGTACATGAGGTGGAACGAAATTGTGTCCTCAAGGTCCCAGTTACACCCAAAATATAAAGTATAAAAAGAAACAGTATAAGGATCTAAGCTATACGCTAAACACTAATAATGTAAAATAATACAGTATATTAAAGAGCAGCACAAACATGAGTGTGTAGTGAGAAGATGGGTATGAATGAATAGAGCAGTATGAGATCAGCAGCATGAGATCAGCAGCATGGATAATCAGCAGTACAGATTAAAGTGGCATGGATGAGGGTATTTTGATGGGTCTTTCTTAGTGTTTAAGATCAGGTTTCAGTTCTTGTTTTGGTCATTGTTTTTCTGTATCTTATTTTACTGATGTTTATTTATTTGCTGTTTTCCTGATCGGTCTAGTAGCTTTGGATCCTAGATCCTGATCAGGTTGTGTTCCCTGGGCTTTCTGTTACTGCCATCCTGTATGTTCAGTCTTCCTCTGTGTAGATCCTCCTACTCAGTTTTGCCCCGCCCACTGTCACCTGTTCTCAGCTGTCCCTCCCCAGGTGTTTGTGATTTAGGTTCATTAGTGTTTCTTTATATTCTGTGCTCCTCGTTTGTTCCTTAGTTCTGCATTATGCTGTTGACAGCTATAATTTCTCCTTCCTGTGTCTCCTCGTGTTTCCAGTGTTGTTTATTTTGTAGCTAGTTTAGCTGCCTCAGCAGCCACTTGTATGGTTATTAAATCAGTTCTGTTGGATTTTAGAGTCCCTCTGTTCTGTCTGCACTCATCGTTTTCAAATCTCATAGAAATCACGACAATTTGGAGTCTTTAAGGTTCAGCCTAGTGAAATACAAAAACTTGAAAAAAGTTTCAGCCTACCTTAAACAAATGATTTTCGATGTATTTGTCAATGATGTTTAACTTAGACTTGTTTTATTGATAAAATGCAGGATTTCATCAACTTATTTAAAAGTTTTCTTGTCAATGAACAACAATGGGGTCCATGAGGAGATTGTCCAAGGGCCACTTTTTGTCCTTGGGTCATATGTTGCCCATGTCTGGGTTACAATCGGTGGATTTAAAGTGATAAAAACATATATCTAAACAGCTATGATTTATTTAAATTTGGGGACTATTATATTGTCTAACAAAGGTATAAAATGACAAGCTTGTACGTCCTCACTGACCTTGAATTTGTTCCCCACGCTGATGAAGCTGAGCTTTCCCGCCTTCTGTTTGGAGTCCTTGGAGGTGTTGGAGTTCTCAAACAGCTCCCGCACAAATATGTCTTTTGATTCGCACACTAAACTCTCCAATGACATGTGGAGGGCATCATTATTCTTCTCCACGAACCTCGTCTGTCAACACACACATCCATTCCCATACATTTATGCATTGGCAGCCTGTCAGCATCTATCAAACCTTTGCAGCTGGTGTCATATTTATACAAGGATAAATAATCTTAGGAAGGATGATGTGATGGAAAGTATTCAAAAATGACTCAACGTAAGTAAAAATACTTTGTAGGAAATATTCTAATAATGGATTATGTGAAGCCCTTTGGCAAACCATTATAAGATTTAAGTTAAGAATTACCGTTTCATAACAGACCGCTCCTGCAAAGTGCCTGATTATAAAACCTTCGTCGTCCCGAAGATTCCTGTGAATTGTCAACTTTGACTTTCTGGGAACCTGGTTGTGTAAAGAAATATATAAAACTGAATAAGACAGTGTCTACAGAACTAAACGTTTTACATGATGTAGTAAATACACATTAAAACTTTGTTCAAGGTCATTTGTGCTCGTACAAAGTGTATTAGAACATTTTTTTTATATATGTTTTAACATGCCACATTCATCCTTTCAAGAACTATCATGAAAGGCTCCAAACGTCGATCATTTTTCAGAATAGACTATAACAAAAGTTTAAGCTCAATTAGCTTCATCATCAGCAAGAAGAACCATGACAAGTGACCCTGTGAAAAGTGTGAAGCAGAAATGTTAGCTCTCGCAGCACATTCAAACGTTTATTCATTTTTTCACAGTATTGAACGCACCGAGTAGCATTCAATGGGGATGACAATAGCGTGGCTGCAGCCGGCCACTTGAATGAGCGTCAAGGCTAAAGTCTTAAAAGGATTTCATGTTTGCAGATAAGCAGCCAGAGTGTCCAACAATAAAGACAAAGAGAGCAGCAGGGGAAGGGAGTGGGGCTGCGTGTCGATCACAAAACAGGGTAAAAAAAAAAAAAACCCAGCAAAAGTAACAACGTTCACGACAAAACGGAGGTGCTGTTACAGTTTTCCATATTAACAAAGGAGCTAAGAGCACAAAGCAGGATAACAATAGCAGAACTGGCGACAGAGCATGAAAAAGAGAGAGCAAAACTAAAAGAGTGTAAGAGCGAGCAGAGCTCAGAGTCTGACCGTCAATCTGAAGTGGTCTTTGTGTTTGCCGTGAACAGCCACTGCAAAGTGTTGGTCGCTGGCCTGAGGAAGACGGTTCTCTTCATCCAGAATGTCCAGGATTCCCACCAGCTTTGCCTCCACGAGATCTGGAAAAGTCAGTCACTTAATTCAGCGTCATCATTCATGTTTAGGTCTAAAATAAGCATCTGCAGTAGTGATTAATATCAAGACATCCAAACGGACATTGTCCTATAATAATCCCCAAGTTTCAAATGCTTGCAGACTTTTTAAAACTTGATTCCCCACAGAGTATTTATTTCTTGTGTGGGAACCATTCTGAAAGCAGATGAACGTTCTGTCTGCAAACGTGAGATTTAGTGGGAGTTTCCACCGCTTATTCTTTCTGAATTTGAACATCTACAAAGTAGAAAACGCGTTCATCAGGATGCTCATTTAGACACACATTTGAATTATTCATACAACATGCTGTTTGGAAAATAGTGCGATGGCCAAGGACCTTAGGGGAAAAAAAAAAAAATCTCCGTGGACAAGCACCTGCGCATAAATCCTGAAGACTGATGAGTGAATTAATGGCCATCCCAAACGGTCATTTGCAAGTCATAACTGTTATTCAGTGCTGTCAGTTAGCCTCACACCTGAATAATCGCAACCTTTTGAAATACAAATAAACTGCTTCACCTTGATACGTGGACTACTTCATCTCATTAATTCCACGATTCATTCGAGGGCAGACTCACCCAAAACAAGGGACATCATTTCTCCAGCCTCTCATTACACAAGAAAGGCCATAAACCCACACATACTCGTTGAACTTGCTGCCCTCAGACACACTCAGATGCCAGCTTAGAGAACCGTAAGAAGAAATGAGTGTTTGTCTTCTCACCAGGTGGATTTTTACTGCTCTGATGTGGAGCTCAGAAAATGAGCCTATAAAGCATCGGTGAGGGAATCTCGCTCTTGAACCAAACTCAGAAATATGTGGGGTTTCAATTTTGTCAACCCCCCCCCCCCCCTTTTTGAAAATTCATGTCACCTTTTTCAGCATGAGCTCTCAAATATTTATGACTTTTTTTTTTTTTTAGTATCTGTGTTTTTGGTCATTTTTTAGTAATCTTTGTGTTTTTTCTTGTTTTAATTTTCATGTTTATATTCTGTGCTTTGTGATCTTTGTGTTCAGTTCTATTTCTCTGTGTTTTCCTGAGCAAACAGTTCAGACCAGAATGTTGGAGAAAAATATTCTCCCTTTATCTGACTTACTCAAAAAGAGCCACACTCGACAGCAGGAGAAGATTTCTAACCAGTATTTACTTGCAAGGTCAGATTTTCAGGACAGAAGTACACATGAAGACCAGTCATGAGAGTCAGCCACGAGCAGTGTGTGAAGCTTGTTTTTATATTCTCATCAGTTCAGCCGAGCTCACACACTCAGAGGCGTCCATCCAGCTCTCTCTGCTAACCCAAACATATGGTTCATGGGCAAAGTTAACATTCTCAGCCGTAGTAGTTAAAAACATCCATCAAAAATTCTGTTTCTGTGTTTCCTGAGCCACCAGTTCATTTCCAAATGTTGGTCCTCAGTTTCTGCTCATCTGTCCTGCTGTTACCTGTTCCCCATGACTATCAGACCACCTGTCTCCAATCTCCTCATTATGCCTGGTCCATTTAATCTCCAAGTCTTTACCTCACCTGTAGTCGGACATTGCACTTCCATGCCCTTTCAGCTCCTCCTCATGTTTCATGTGACATAACTGCTTCTTTGTTCTAGTTTTGTGATTATTCAATCTTTAAGTTTTCCAGCTTGTGCGAATGTCTGCATTTTTGGGATCACAAGATAAGATAAGGACTTTATTGATCCCACAGGAAATTGTTGACAAATTTACTGATGGGTCTGTTCAACTGGCCTGTCCACTGCCCACATATGGGTTCATATTTCAATAAAACTAGATTTTAAACAGTAAAACAAACTTACTTAATGACAATACTTGCTAGATGTCTGGCTCTTGGCTTTCAGTAACTGTGGCCCCCTGAGCAATTTAGTTGAATTGTCCTGCTCTAAGGCATCAATAGCACATTGAGTGTATATAGTTTAGATTTGTAGTCATGAAACTGTCTCAAGTTTCATCTCAAGTAACTCTTTCATATTATCAACTTCAGAAGAACATTACCAGTAAGGTGTCTGTGGGCACATGAGAGCAGCAAAACTCAAAAATGCAGTGCAGAGACTTACCTATGCAGTCCTGGTTATCAACATAATGCACTTCATTCACTCCCAGACCTTCCTTTTGATAAAGCTCTTGCTCCTAAAATGTAAAAAATATATTAATGTAAACAAGAAACTTTTTTTTTTTGTGTGATGCTTTAACTTCTTAAAAGAAAAGACCAAAAAAACATTAAACTGACAACATTTGAATAACTAAAAAGAGGTTAAAACAAGAATTGTTGCAGAATAATTACAGACCTTGGAAAAGAATAATGTTAAAAGAGCACAGGAGATAAAAAAAACCCAAGCCTCATCATGTCCCATGAGAAATTAGCATTCTAATGAGCGAGCACACAGGAGAAAAAACAAGAGAAGACAGAAAAGCTTAATGCCGAACATCTCTGCCTTGCTCATGAAAGAGTCAATAAGTTTGGCTCATCTGTGACTCCAAGTGGCATATTTCCAGGAATGAAAAAAAGAGGTAAACCACATCAAATCCCATTAATCCACAGGCTGCTCACTCACCTCCTTGAGGATGCGCTCGTTGAAGAACTGCTGCAGCTTCTCATTGCAGTAATTGATGCAGAACTGCTCGAAGCTGTTGTGCTCGAAATATTCTTAGAAAAGAAGAAATAGAAGCAGAAAAAAACACGGATTTCAATTAATTCTTCAAAATAAAAAGAAAAAAAAAAAAACTGCTCAGCTCATTTTAATTATAGCAACGGGAAAATGACTTCTCAAGCAAGAGGCCCGGTAATGAAGTGTTTCTATGCATCAGGGTGTCTAAATGAATCCACAGACAGGAATCTTAATTCTGAACATAGCGACATAAAATGGTATCCAGATGGGAGCAAGATGCAGTCAATTTAAGTTGCAGGAGGAATAATTTGGCTTTTATGCTACTATCATACACATTAGACGAGATCCAAGATGAGCTGCATTTTATTACCAAATCCAGCAATGTCCAACACGCCGATAAAGTTGGAGGAGGTCTGGAAAGGGAAACACTGGTTCACACGTTTGACCACATGATCAAAGAGGCGGCTGTACACCGCCTTGGCCAGGGCATCCCGGGCATTGTTTGCTTGTTCCACCTTTAGAGGCACCCTGGGGGACACACAAAGTGGGGCAGTGAGAGAAAGTTCATAACTGGGACACGCTGGACTTCTAATTTTTCTATCAGCTCCATTTTTAATGTGGTATCAACTTTTTTATTGTTGTAGTCACGCTCTGTTCTCCCTGTTATGATACTTAAGAGTCCAGCTGAAAAAATGTTTAAAACTGAGGATTTCTCAGTCAAAGAGGACTTTAAAACAAAAAAATAAAACCTCAAAACTCTGCTGGGTTCTCAAATGGTGCTTTACACTAGGGGTTCTCCAATTTTTGGGTTCAGGGACCCCCTTACAAGGGAGAAAAAGTTTCAGGGATCCCCTCATTTATTTAAAAAAAAAAATCTTCAATTTGTCTCTTTAATGCAATGGAAAGACTTGTGTAACATAAATACTTAAAACTTGATTATTAATTAATTAATTAATTATTAATAATTAATAATGTTTATACAATTTGTATACTTTTAAACATGGGGTGTTTTTTCATTCAAAATACACCTAATTAACAACATTTTTTAATTTCAACGTCCAAAAATTACAGTTTTGAGAAAATTAACAGTATCATAAACCACTTTAAAACTTTACCTATTCACTTAATGAACATAATAAATATGTTGCCACTTCTTCAAATTATTACAGAAAACTCAACATAAAACTGAACAGAAGCAGAACAGCAGGAGTCAGACCAAGTAACAGGGATTCATTTGTAAACCGATTGATGCCGGAACGCAAATAGCAGGCGGG